AGAGAGAGAGAGAGAGAGAGAGAGAGAGAGAGAGAGAGAGAGAGAGAGAGAGAGAGAGAGAGAGAGAGAGAGAGAGAGAGAGAGGATACTTCCATCGATAGGATGACCAAAATCACATGACAGTTTCAAGGCACACCTCGAATACAAGGTACGTACCTTGTATTCGAGGGTACCTTCTATTCGAAAATTTAACAACGATTTCTTCGAACCCCTTTTTCGGAGGTAACTTGAATACAAGGTACGTACCTTGTTTTCGGGTTAAGACGGTAGGGACGAGAAAGCAGTTGGATACAGAATCTGGGGTCAGTATGAGAGTATGCCCTCAGTAAGGGCGTTGCAGCTACGTGTTCATCACGGACGTTATTTTCAGAAATGCAAAAAAAAAAAAAAAAAAGCAACAACAATATGGACGTGAAAGCCGTTAGATGCCGAATCTGAAGTATATGCCCTTTTTGACGAAGTGTCAGCAGTCTGTGCAATGCGCCCCGCCTCGGTGGCAGGGCAACAAAAAAAACAAAAGAAGAAAAAACAACAAAAGCAACGAAAGCTAATACAGGCCATAGTAGCAAGTAGATTCATTCCCCAGTGCACTAGTCTGAGCACACGTCCTTCACGGCCTTCCCGGACGCCGTTCCTCTCTTTGCAGTTGTTTCTTTTCTTTTTTTCTTTCCTGGTTCGAACATTATCTTACTGCCAACCCCGTCCCCCCGATCTTTTTGGAACGAGTCGTTCTCAATTAATTTCTTTTGCCTGGGCTGTATACTTGTGGTTTAAACCACAAGACCACAAGTTCAGACAACAGAAGCGTCACTGGCGACACTTTACAGTACCGGTCCACTGCAAGGAAAATGAGCGATAGCAAACTTCAGAAATCAAACAGCATCACACGCATGTGACCAGATAGTCGTGACCTCGAACAAATAGCAGAATTGCATCACGAGTTTCACCAAATAAGAGCACAGCAAAAGCTCATAATTGACAATGCTGGAATAGTTTCATCATCATCAACGAAGAACCAATGTCGATATCCTATTTGGCGCCCGGCGCCCAGACTACAAATGGCAGATCCTATCTAGCCTATCTACAATGCCGCCGATGACGTCAACAGCTCCCCGAAGTACAAGCAGATCTCGGCCAATGCCGTACGCTTCAAGCACCAGGTGTGTCCCTCGTATCACTCACAACCTCGTTCCCCAACTCACAGATTCCACATGCACCCAAGGACTACCATGCGCCCCATCCAGCATACAGCAGCGCAGCTCGGCTATGGCTGCCTGCTCCTTCCAGCTCGCCCGTGAGCGCGTGAGCGCAGCATGCAGCCAGTGCCCGAATGCCAAATGCGTGTGCAGGCCCTTGCCTAAATGGAAGTGGCCTGCCTACTTTGCGTGCAGCCTGGCTGTGCTGGCCCCCTGCCCAGAAGCTTTCGGTAGGCCCATAGAGGCTCAGGCCCAGACCAAACGGATCAGACCCAAGGCCTGTGACAGTTACCCGTACCCAACTGCCCACAGCCTGAGTTGGGTGCATGCTGCCTATCTCGCGCAGGGCCGGACTCCGATGCATTTGATAAAGGAGGCCAGGGCCCGGGCGCTTTCAACCAACTGGCGCTGCGCAACTGCCTGAAGTTTTCCCCAGTTGCGAAGTAGTCCAAAATAGGCCTCTTGTCGTCTGTCGAGCCTGCCTTCACTTAGGGCGGCCGACGGTGTTGCAAATAGGGGCCCAATAGGGCTTATGCCTCGCACCACGCACTTGATCCAATAAGTTGATAATATTCGTAATAACTTGCACCCTGCGAAGAGTCGTTGACAGGGACCTCACTCGAGCATGTCGTCCCTTTCGGCCTCTTTCCTTTATCTTTCCTTTTCTTCTTTTTCCGTCCAGTTCTTTTAATTCCCTTCTGTTATCATCAAAAAAAAAGATACTATAGCCCCGGGGGCGCCGTTCAATTAGCCATAGGATGTGACACAGTTCTACCCTTCCGCACCTGAAAACACACAATCCGGTCTTTCATAACATGCCAACGCGTCTGATTGGACACTCACGCAAACAAGCCATCAATTTTCAATCGGCATCAAGTTCACCCATACGGCAACAGGGCGTCACTTTTCCATTGGCTGGAAGTCCAGATTGGCAGCTGATCTAGGCTACCAGAGTGGCCCGGGACCACTTGCCTGGCCGGGCCAAAATATATATATATACCTCCTGATGAGTCGGTGAAACTCCGACGAAACAGTTTGTCACAGCCCCTCGTTTGTTGTCCTCTTCTCTCTCTCTGCCTACGGTTTACCGGGCAGTTCTTTTTGTAACCATATATATATATATATCGTCAAATAGAACTGCCCGGTAAACCGTAGGCAGAGAGGGAGAAGAGGACAACAAACGAGGGGCTGTGACAAACTGTTTCGTCGGAGTTTCACCGACTCATCAGGAGGTTATCTTGAATCTGGTAAAGAATTTCGATGTGACCCTGCATAACATAGTTTTTTTCGGATGTATTGGATTTTGTTTTTTGGGAATATTCGATGTGACCCTGCATAACATAGTTTTTTTCGGATGTATTGGATTTTGTTTTTTGGGAAATTTTGTCTGGTGCCCTTGCAATTCCCATTATTTTGCATCACGCCCCTCCGACGGCCCGCATACGCTGCCGTGCCCCAGGGGCCTCTGAACTTTCCTGCATGCCCCTGTCCGCAAGGGGCGCAACTTTCCGAGGTGCCCTTACTGGACGGCCAGTCTCATTTCACCGGTCCCTGTGCGATATGCCCTCACGAGCGGCATACATCTTTCCATCATGCCCTCGCGCCAGAAATTTGGATTTGAAGCACGTGGTTTTTGTGCGCTGCCGCAAAAAATGACCCCGTGTGTGTGTGTTTGTTGTCATATTCGCTATACACCATGGTTGCATCCCTGCCAACCGCCGACCCCGACCACAGACCATATTGCAGCCGACCAGTAGGGCCGACCGGTCGGCGGACTGCCGACCAGTCAGAAAGCAACCATCCACTATTTTTTTTTCAGATCTGAGTTGGAATCTGTACTGCGCTTGCTGAGTATAGCCCAAATCCGCTGAGAAACTTTTGGGGATGGGGGGATTGGGACTGGGTTGTATAGGGG